CTCTCTCTCTCTCTCTCTTTCTCTATTTCGCCCCATGCTCTCCACCACCAAGGGTGAGTAAGTACCTACACAGGGGTCTGCGAAGGACATTGGGGAAGAAAGAGAGCGAGAGACATCAAGGGGGAGTAAAGCAGCGATCAACCGGCCGATTTTCGTGGGAACGCTCGTGGCGCTTAACTGGTCGCACGCTGTCGCCGCTACCCTCTCTCTCTCCACTCGCAAGTCCGAGTGCAAGTCGCTAGGTAAATACTGGAAGATTTCTGGAGCGAAATCTGGGGATCGCAGCGCCCACCATCGATTCGCCAGTACGATGATCGTTCTGCTGCTCTATGTATCGTATCATTTATAGACACAGACGCGTCTCTGTTATGAGAGACAAATGCCGAATAAGAGAAAAAAAACTAGGGTGAAATCGCGTTGCTGGTTTTAGCCTGACTCCCACGGTGGCCAAGACTCGCGAACGATCGCTTACCGAGCGACGAAGGGTAGCCGGCAACGAGGGAGGGTGCGATCACGATAGAACGTTCTCACGCGGCGCACGCGTTTCTCTGATTATCGCTCGCCTATGGGAACCAACCCTGGTTAATCGGTGCGTCAACTTGTTATCAAAATCTTTGGTCAATCAAAACTGCGATTGTCGCACAAACTACCAAGATTACTTTTGCAACAGCTTGTAAAATTTTCAGATACCTACGTTGGTATCGTCGGTATCTGAAAGAAGAAGAACAATTCTTGCCGACGGCTTGTACGAGATGGCTGTCGGAATTGAAACAAAGTACCTATTTGATTGTCGCTTCCGGTCTGCACGCGACTCGCGCACGTGAAGTCGCGTGTCGCGAATCTCGTTGCTCGTGTACGCGCGTGTGTACATCTGAACAGGCGTGCGGTAACTTGGCGCTAGAAGGTAGCGGTCCTTCTTTCAATTCGCCGCTCGAACGCAAGCTTTCAAAGAAGCTGCCGCAGTACATGCCTTTGTACCGCCACGCCGAAACTGGTGGTAGGCACAATTTTAACAAAGAGCAGTCCTCCGTCCGCTCCAACTTTCGCTCTATAAATATTTATATTCATAATTCCAGTCGGATCGACGAACACGCGAGTGGACTTGCTTGCCCGATGGTCAGCTCATCTGCTGGACAAACAACGAACCGTTCGATGTAAAGCAAACACGCATAAAATTAGCAGCGTTTGACTCTTGGCCGGCACCGTCTCTTCCTTGCGAAAACAAAGGTTCGCAATTCAATCGGGCGATGGACCGCGTCCATCGATTCGACCGGTGGTGGTCACTCCCTCTCTCGATCGGCCGATTTGACCATCGACAGTTGGCGCCGCGACACAATCGTCCGATAATTGGTCGATATTGTTCGGGGCACTCGAGTTCGAAACACCGCGCGCATATGCCAGCCCGCGTGCGCCAAACTGACCGCCATGCTCGATTGCTTTACGATTTGTTGTTCGCTGCTGTTCCTCCTGATCAATCGGAAATATGAATTTATCGGCGATCCTGTTACGACGATCCTGGGACGGCGATATGATCAATTCTACGAGCTATATTCTGTCCCTGTTGAAATCTCTCGTCAATTTTCTAGGTCATCGAGTTCTTACTGACACTTTCTCGCATCGAGAACGCCAAACGCTGAAATGTAAACACACATAAGCGTTTACGTTT